ATTGTAATGAGGCAAGATGAAAGATATGTGCTACAGCCCAGATTTGATCTTCCTGTTGACAACCAGGAGATATCCCAAAGACCTGGACCCCACACTTCCAGGTCTAGCACTTCTAGCTGCTTGAGAGGCCCTGTGAAACAAAACTTGGCATTAGGTTAGCCATCAGCCAATTTCAAGGCTTTGCACTCTACCATTCTCACAGAAAAAAAAACAACATGAAGAGATAATCCTTCCTTCCTTCAAGAATCTGCAGAATAAAAGAAATTAACCAAGCATCTGGCAGTAAATAGTAGTAAATAAAAATCCTGCAAAAGAAGTCAAGAGAATAAAGAGAATAAAAAATATTTTTGGAAAATTAAATGGAGGACAGCTCTATGAGGCCGAGGAAAATTGATTTACCTAAGTGTAGATTAAGAATGAAGTAAAATATACTTGTTCCATCTCGAGCCAAAGAGAAAACTCTACGGGGACACAGACAATTTCTACATTATCAGTGACTCAGTGAATGCATAGCACACACTAAATTTGCTAAATGAATGAGAATAAGAAGTCTTTAGCTAATACTTGAGGGAGTGCTCATCTTGTATTAGAAACTGTACTGAGTGCTTTAAATGTATCAACACATTTAATCTTCAATATAACTTTTGAAAAAGTACTAGTCCTCATTTGCAAATGATGATACTGAACTGAACACACTTAAGAAACTTCATTAGGTTAGTTCAGTTAGAAAAAGCTGTAACTGCACTTTGAACCATGGCATCTGAACCTACAATTCATATATGTTTATGTTTAAAAACTAGAATGCCTTTAACTTGCCTAGAAATTTTGGAAGAATGAAAACCACTCTTTTCTGCTGTTTGTTTTCAATTCTGATCTATAATCCACACCAAAATAACCATGAATTACCCCCCCTTATTCCCCTTTTCTCTTTTTCTTATGTAAAATGAGACTGAGAAAGCAATTAATTGCTACTAGTGCTGCTCTCCTTCTCTACCTCTACTTGTTTTAAATTGTCACCCTTTTGTTTTATGTTTTCTTTTTCTTCCCCTTACTGTCTCTTTTCCTTGTCATTAAACTTCCCCTTTCTACAATTTCTGGGAAAAAAACCAAACACTGTTAAGAGGCTACTAGATAAGAAACACTACATCTCTCCCATCATATATGTTGCCTTTAAAGCACCAGGGAGGCCCCAGAAGGAGACTGCTACTTGATTTTAGAACTAAAAGTATTAAATTCAGGCCCTCTCTGGTGGCACAGCTGGTTAAAGCATAGCACTAAGAAGCTACACCGACTTCAGCATGAGTTCAATCCTCGCCCCGGGGGTGATCCACATGGCAAGGCAGACCTCTCCTCACCTGCCCACTGACCCCCTAAGCAGTATGCTTCGTCAGTCTGCCTGTTCTGCTCCCCACTCTGTCTCTGGTGAATCCTCTCACGGTCCCTGTACCTCTGGCCTCTACTCTAGTACTGTATGCATAAATAAATCTTTTAAAAAAAGTGTTAAATTTATGAGCAACCAAAAAGTACATCAATTTGAGACCTGACAAAAATATATGTTCCATTAATTGCAACTTTAATGTATAAGTTAAAAAACACATTATTGCTATAACTTTGTAAATAAACAGGAAGCTGAGTGATAGAAATTAAAAGCATTTTGAGGGAAATGAAATTGAAAATATATGATATAGGGTCCTCCCTGGTGACACAACTGGTTGGAGCATACCACTGTGAAACTATCTGCAGCCACTTTGTGCTGGAAACCCTAGGATGAATAAAATATGAACTGTGAGAGTTTGTAGTTTGCTATGAGAAACTGATATGCAGATATATATATATATATGCAATATGATAGTTGTATAGAAGGTGACCTAATGACACAATAGGGTAATGTTCTCAGTTTACTGAAGGAAAAAGGACTCAAGAAAAATTGTACCAAGTTACATTTTAAAGGACAGGTAAGGAGCTTTGAGGGTTCTTTATATTCTACCCTCTTTATGTACTAATTTGTCATGATAATAAAAATTTTATCTTTTACTTGTATGCTGTTAAAACCTGTTATTTAAGAAATGATGTTATATGATTTGCTTATGATAAATCCTTTAAAATTATACTGCTTTTATTGCACTTAGGATTCTTAAAAAACAATAGCTTAAGTAACTCTGTGATAGCTGTCAAAGAAGAGCAAACAGACAAATTAAATATTTATTTATAGATTTAAAAAGTATACATCTTTTGGCCCTCCCTGGTGGCGCAGCGGATTAAAGCACAGCACTAAGAAGCTAAAGCCTCTTCCGCATGAGTTCGAGTCCCGCCTGCCCCGGAGGTGACCACATGGCGTGGCAGACCTCTCCTGACCCGCCCGCTGCTCACCTCAGCAGTGTACTTAGTCGATCTGCCTGTTCTGTTCCCCACTCTGCCTCTGGTGACGCCTCTCACCACCCCTGAGCCTCTGGCCTGTACCCCAGTTCTGTATGCACAAATAAATAAATAAATCTTTTTTAAAAAAAAAGTATACATCTTTTTAGGTAATTAAACAGCAGAAAATAAGGAGTTTCATATTAGGCATTTTATGTATCAGAGCTTGAAAAAAAGCTGTCTGTGAAACAACACACTTATTTTCTTAATTGCCTTCTCATTTTTGAAACTAATTTGTGTTGTAAATACAAGTGTTAAGTAGTTATTTCATTCTGTGTTCACTGAAGATTAATAATCTCAGCCCTTGAATCTCACTGACCTGGAATCAACAATTGGACTGTCAAGGCAACTTCCACTGACAGTGGCCAAAGCATCTTTCATCCCCTTTAGTTTCTTAGAGACATAAACAACACAATTTATTCTTGTTACATGAAATATAGTCATTGGTGAAAGTTCCTGTAAAAACTACCTACTGGTAATTCAAATTTAGTATGACTAAAACTGCTCCTGAATTTGACTTTTGGATTTGGGAGTGAAATAGTATACATTTTTTATTACATTATTCATTTCTACTAGGAAACAGTTTGAAATCCAGGCTTTATTAAGAAAAGGTCATTAAAAGTATGTTGCTGGAATTTTTTGTTATTAATATTATTAGTATTATGGTAAATTAGAATTGTCCTCAAGCAAGACTGAACTTGTCTGCAACATTCAATTTCTGGAAGGCAATATAATGCACATTCAAAGAGGGAAATGTCCTCTTGTGAAATGAAGTGAAATCTATCAGTAGACTCCCATAATATCCCACATGGAGATTGGTGAATCACTAGTTGAAAACTCTCAATGAAAAATCACCATGATTTAGCCAACTATCACACTCTTATATAAAAGTGTGATCTTTCTAATGTATAAGTGTGATAGTTTAATTCAATAACTCCAATTTCTTCAAAATCTTCAGTTTATAAAGATAAATTCTTTCACAATATATTTGAGGTTTTTCTATCTGTCTAGTTTCTAGTTTGAATTCTTTTCTCGCCAGACTTTCAACATGCATGGTCCAACAAGATAAATCTACTTTTAGATCCTAGAATCTCTCCCATGCTTCTGTCTTTGAATTATTTCCTCTACCTGAATGATGTTCTCCTTCAGTAATACACTGCTCAGTCATTCCTCTCTTATTCAGTCAGATTTATATACACAATTTTCTATGTCAATGCAGTTTGTACATGCAACTCTAATATTCTAAGATTGTATTATAATTGTCTGAATACTTTTCATCAACTCAAAAAAAGGACAGTGGAATAGTGAACCTTTTTTTTTGCCTTCCCAGCAGTTAAGACACAGGATCATCTCCTCCCTCCTGTGGTTCTTTTCAAGGTTCATCTTGAACTGAATGAGCAAACACATTAACATCAGATGAATCAGTAGGAGAAAGACCAAATTTAATTACATACACATGGAGAGTTTACAGCGCTGCAAATTCTAAAGTCAATGGACCAACCCAAGGGTTTAGAGCCTGATATAAATAATTGGATAGGGGCCTGAGGTTTTAAGAAGAGAGGAGTGTCTCTCTTGTGGCAAGAAGAAGATGACTTAAGGACAACAAAAACTTGCCTCTAGATGTTTGCCCTTCTATAAGATAGGTTTTCCAACAAAAGGTCATTTCTGGAGATGTCTGTAAATCAAGATAATTAGCAACCTGAGTTATTGTTACAGTTTTTCTCAAAACCCATTAAGTTCTCAATTATAACTTCATTCCACATAACAAGATGACAGATATTGGAAAAAGCAAACTCTGGACATTTTGGAAAAAGCCTGTCTGAATATTTTGGGGAAACTGGTCCTATGTGCAGTATTTGGTCAATAAGATGGTTCATTAATACATGTATATCCCACATCTATGGATCCAGAATAATTAAACTCATAGAAAAGAGAAGGTGGTTACCAGAGGGTTGGGAATTGAAGAGATATTGAGTACAAATGTGGAGCTAGTAGATAAATAAGTCCTGGAGAGTTATTGTTATTATGACTATAGCAATAATTCTATAGTATAAACTTTAAAGTTGCTGAGAGTGAATCTGAATTTTTCCTAGGCGAGAAAAGAAATGACAATTATATAATGAGATAGAGGTACTACTTAACACTGTAATCACAATTATATTACAATATACAGATGCATTAAATTAATATATACCTTGACATATATAATTGTCAGTTACATCTCAATAAAAACAAACTAAAGAATATAAGAATGAATTATTCACTAATACAAATATTCACAGAACATATAAGAATAATTTGGATGCTGTTTATTGAATATCTTGCCTGTGACCAGTCCAGTACAATGTGCTGCAGTCTCACTGCAGCCCTGTCAGGTGGATTATAGTATTTCTATTTTACCTTTGAGAAAACTGCAACTAGGTAAGGTTACTCGAATAGGCCATATATAAGCAGAAAGCAAAATCAGATGTGAACGATTCCATTGCCAGTTCTCTCCCCAATCCACCCAGCTGCTTTTTGATTATTGTTAAGATCCTGAAAGACACAAATTAGATTTTGATTTAATCTTTTCCATTCCTTTCCAGCTCCAAGTACAGCCCAGTATGGAATTACCGGGAGCGCTGACGTTCTTTTCTCCTGCTGGTACCTTGTGTTGACACTGTCCTCTTTCACCAGCATATTCTACCTGAAGAATGCCATTCTACAATAAATTTAAAGACCCATAAAAGGCTTTTAAGGATTCTCTGAAAGTGCTGATGGCTGGATCCAATCTGGTACAGTTTGTTAAAAGCAGCGTGGGATATAATCAGCAGTGCTTACATGGGGATGATCGCCTTCTGTAGAATTGCTCATTATGTAAATACTTTAATTCTACTCTTTTTTTTTTTTTGATTAGCTACATTACCTTGTGAAGCAGTACACATTGTCCTTTTTTTAAGATGTGAAAGCTCTGAAATTACTTTTAGAGGATATTAATTGTGATTTCATGTTTGTAATCTACAACTTTTCAAAAGCATTCAGTCATGGTCTGCTAGGTTGCAGGCTGTAGTTTACAAAAACGAATATTGCAGTGAATATGTGATTCTTTAAGGCTGCAATACAAGTATTCATTTCCCTGTTTCGATAAGAGTCAATCCACATTTACAGAGATGCATTTTTTCTTTTTTGATAAAAAAGCAAATAATATTGCCTTCAGATCATTTATTCAAAATATAACACATATCTAGATTTTTCTGCTCGCATGATATTCAGGTTTCAGGAATGAGCCTTGTAATATAACTGGCTGTGCAGCTCTGCTTCTCTTTCCTGTAAGTTCAGCATGGGTGTGCCTTCATAAAATAATATTTTTCTCTTCGTCTCCAGCTGATAAAAGTGTTTTGCCAAATCCTACAATTTGAAAGCAAAAATTAAACTATAAAGATCAAGTTAAACTATATCCTATCTCCATTGGACTGTAAAATTCTCTCCCCTCATTATTGGGGTTTGAGAATTTTGCCTCACAATGATGCAGTTTTATGATGAAAAGTAATTTAACTAGCATGGTACAGGTAAATTTACCATATGGTGTCTTTAGTTGTTGCTAAATGTTAGATCCACTATGGTGAATAATTCCCTTTAACATGGCAACACAATCCATTCAAGGGATTACATAGCAATACAGCATTTCTCCCTTCACTATATTCCTACATGAATTTCTAAGATGGTTTGTCAGAAAGGACAAAAAAATCTGATCACCTAATATTACATGAGTTGGTAAGCACTCAAAATTAATTTGGTTCCAAGGCAGGTAAGTTGATATGACAGATAGATAGAGTGCTCCTATGAATAGGAGTACTTTGCATATTTTCTATCTGAAAACATCACTCAGTTGATTGTTTAGAATGTATGTTCTATTTTTAAAAATCCAAAATATAACAAAAATTGCACACTGGTATATCACAGATCACTTTCTGAAATAACTAATTTGCAATAAAATATTTCTCCATAGTCTTTCCAGTGCCAACAAGTAAGGCCAAAAGAAAAGTAATTACCATGGTTTATTTCTTCTTCATGATTTACATAGAGGTGATCAAAAGAAGACACAACTCTGGTGGTGAAAGTATCTTAAGCTATATTAATTATCATAAATATTAGGTGACTTTATCATTAAGAATGAAAACTACATTTTTGGAGGAAATTGCTATTACTCTGACAAGTATTTTATTACAGGAATAGTTTTATGATTTTACTTTAAAGAAAACATAGCCATGAAAGATATTTAATAAGTGTGACTAAGTTTCCAGTTTCACTACACCTAGATAAAAAATATTGGTACCCTTCTGCAAGTCATAATAATAACAAAACCCTACTAATAAAATTAGATGCAAATTTCACAAGGTTGTACATATTTAAGATGTCAAATATTTTGTCCTAAAAGAAATGGTTTGAAAATTATGAATTTTTTCAAGTAAAATTAGTTTATTGGACACCATAATTCTATTTTAATTAGGAAAAAAAAATGAATCCTAAGTGAGGAGACATAAGTATAAAATATTTCTACCAAATGGCAATAATATGGCATAGTGCTATTCAGTTTACTCACTGTAATAATTTACCTTATTTTGACTGATATTTTAAAAGTAGGCTTTTTAAACATGACATTTAAACTTTGGTTACTATTGGTTTATTTTTTTAAAATATCCTTTGTGGAATTGGTGAGTATATGACTTTTTTTGTTGTATTGCAGCTTTAAAGTGGCACACTCCATAATAATCTACTTACTAGAAATAGTGGTGCTACCACAGATGTTAACCATCAGTACCATTGTTTGGGAGGAAGAAACAGATCAAGAATGCATATTTTACAGTGACCGCTTTCCTAGAGTTAAAATACCTCCTCTTTGTAAGGTTTGTAGGGTAAATGTGAGGTAAATTGAGGTATAAACTATGGATGAACCAAATAATTAGTTCAAAGTGTTGTCATGATTCCGAAATTGTGGAGTCTGGTGTTTTTACCATAGAATGTGACAGAAGTACAGTCATAGCTCAGTAGCTATATGTATTTGCCTTTATGTTAGAAAAGACTTTCTTGAGTGACATTTTTAAATAGAGGAGGTATTCACTATGTTTTTCTGTATCACAGCAGCATTCCTAGTCCTTAGGCCCCTGGACAGAGTGAAATCATGAGTATTTATGAGTTCAATATTGTTCAAATAAGGCTACAGTATTTGCTTTTTTGTGTGAATGTATTGCATATAATGTTCAAGTAGATGATTTTACATTATGGACATATGAAATGTCTGATTATTCCATTTTATCAGTCCTGACTGTACAAGATTGTTGCAATTTTAGAATAGCAGTTTTATAAAATTGATTTATCTTTTGATTTATAACAATTTTTTCTAGCTATTCATTTCAGAATTATATTTCCCCAAGTTCCATTTGTGGGGACTCCTTTTGTTGCCCCTGAAATTTCTTTTTCAAAGAAGAGAGAAAATATAGAACACTTGAGGAAAGAAAAGACAGAAAAGGAAAGGAGGTAAAGGGAGGGAGGGAGGGAGAGAGGGAAGAAGGAGGGAGGGAAGGAAGAAAGAAAGCAATGATGAGGGAAGAACCAGAATATTAAGACACTTGACTTAATTCATTTGCATTCTTGGTTTAACTTTGAATGTTTCAATTATGTTTTGCAATGATCCCATTTGAAGCATAAGTCCTATTACTACCATTAAGGTACTATTATGCATCAATTCTATTACAAAAAGTACTGTCCAAATAATATTATGTTTGGGAGTGGGGAGGACATTAAAAGATTTGAAAAGGAAAGAATGTCCAACTTTAAGCCACTTGGGGGGGGGGATTTAAAATTTAACTGAAAAACTAATGATTCATCATAACATATAAGCTATATCTAGAAAGTAGAGTGGAGAAATGAGAAAATTACCCAGATAATTCAGGACAAAATATATATACATAAATACCCCTACATGTGAACTCAGAAGATTCTGAGAAATTTATCAAAGCCAATCATCTCTATTGATCAGATTTATTGAATTATTGTTAATCTATTCATTGTGCTTAGCTTTGTGACACAGCCAAAAGTTACCTATTTAATCTTTTCAATAAAAAATTGTTTTTTGAAATTCAGAAATGATTTTAAAAAAAGGTCAGGTTTTTAACTATTTATTGAAGTATGTGGATGTACAGTATTTCAATAGATATGAATATGAATAAATGGTATGCCTTAAGATCCTTTGAATATGTATTTACTTTAAAGACTGGGACGAGCACTTCCGGTCTTTTAGTAAAACATCCATATTTCATAATCTGATGTAAAATATGTTGTACTGTTTCCAATAGGTGAATATAAAGTCAGTTTATCAATTAAAATATGTATTTGACTCATTTTAAACTCTATTATCAAAGAACAAAGGAAGAAATAATTTAAGTACTCCACTCTGCTAATCCCTTTATTTTCTGCTGCACCCACTATACCACACTTACAACTTCCAGATACTCCATAGCTACAGAGTGAAAATTTTAGGTGCTCCAGTTTCAAATTGTTCTACATGTACGTAGCCTTTCTCTCTATTGTTGATTCTCTAAGGCTTTGACAAACTGAACTACAACCAACTTCAAGAAGAAGTTTCCTGAAGAAATTTTGTTATTAATTATTTAGAAATTTGACCTACTGAAATATAGCAGAGTTAGCAACATAGACTGATGAAAAAGTCCTGCTGATTTTGGGGCTTTACATCTGAAAACTCAAATGTACACAGGAGACACACAATCAGTATAATTACACAAGACAACTGGGTTTAAAACAGGAAATATCTACTCCACCTGGAGGCATACAGATACAATGTTCTTAAAAACACCTTGCATAACAAACAAACTGATTTGAAAGCTCTTACCTTGTGATGGCTATAATATGCAAATGAGTCAACCCAAATGAATGATTTAGGTCCTTTTCTCCAAATATGCCCATTTATGATGGTCAACCAAATAGAAGGGAACAAAATTATAGATAAACAAAATAATAAACAGTGAATAAGACAGCTGGCATAATAAGCTGTTTTGAAATATACATGCTATATCTATTTGGAAAACTATATCTACCAAATCTCCCCTCTCAGGAAAAAATGAAAATACAATAATAAACATCTGGTTTTTACACTGGTTCATTATTAATTCCTTTCCAACTTGTACTCATTCATATGGAAATTGAAACATCAAGTCTCAACCTAAATACTAGCTTGTAAAGCAGAGTTGATTTCTCTCTGAACATATTAGGTGAAAACATAGATACTTCAAAGTATTATCAAATGAATAGGAAAATAATTTGCTTTAGTTTATCAAGCCAAACTATAATAATTTAGGGAGAAAAATTCCACTCCACTGGGGGAGGTCAATGCAGAGAAGTCCCGGCATGGTCATGGCCAGCAGGGGCTGCTGCCCTGCAAAGGGAGAAAGTGGGTGGGAAGAAACACCTACATAGTCACAGGTGGGCAATGGAACAGCTGCCCCAAGCTGGTGGAGAGACTGCCCTAACAAAGGCAGCTTCTCTTTGGGAGGGGCTCACTCCTTGTGAGCCTCCGTAGAACTTGAGAGGACCGGAGATTTCCTGATGAGCTTCCTCTCCATGTCCTTATCTTTTACCTTTTGGGTCCAGGCTTCAGGTACAGCCACAACAGTCTGTTATCTGCTGGGACCTCTTGGAGACATCCAGGCACCCCAGACATCAGGTTTTGGTGCCTGAGGACCTTGATTTTGTAACTGTGTCAATTGCTTCACTAGCCCCTTCTACCTGTCCCCTTTGTGTGACTCAATCTTGTGATGCTCCACTAGTACAATGCAATTGCCTTCAGATACACATCCCTTAGTAACATTAGACCCATTGTACCAGATGGAGCGTCTATTCATAATTGTGTCATTTTTTACTATACATTTTGCAAAAGTATTGTCAGGTTTTAGGTAATCCACTAATATTATATCCCAGGTATCTGCAATTAACAAAATTCATAGGGACATGGAGATCAGAGTATATAACACATTTTTTAAATTTATAAAGTTAACACTGATTTTAATTTTGAGTGGTAATGTCTTAGAAAATTTATATAAAATATTAATTATAGGTACATGTTTGTGCTGGAGCAGTAAAACCAAAGAGATTCTAATTCTAGAAATTAGGTATATACAAACTAAGGAATAAATCTACATTTTGTTGTCAAAATATAAACATAATGCAAATCCAGTGGACATCACTCTTTAGTTTGAAAATACATGAGGTGCATAACTTTCATACACACATTAAAATGAACACATTAATTCATTAATGAACGACTGAGTAAGATATTACCACCATATAAGAGGACAATTAAAGAAATTATGCTTATAAAACAAGAATATTGAAATTAATATGTTAAGGGCAAAACTGGCTTCTTCCAAAATAAGGAAGAGAATTCAATTGCAACTTTATAAACATTTACATGTTTATAGACAAGAAAAATTTTGCCATAGTATCACATATCTACAACTCATAAAACAGCTTATGTGTAAAGAAAGGTAGAGTCTCTGTAGAAGCAGTCAGAGAACATAGAAGAGTGTACTCTAATGCATGGGTTTTTTCATTGCAATACAAATTTTCCCTAAAATAATGAGATGTAAAAATCGTAAAAAACACTTGAATTAAGTGAATGCTAATATTTGAGGCTTGAAAATGTCTATTGTAATGCATTAGAAATAAAAACCCATTATCTATATATTTAATATGCTACGTTCTCTACATACCTCTATTTATTAACTTTCTTCTTTATTACACAAACCATCAGCCAATAATTTGGAAGCCAAAGAAGGGGATGTGAACAATTAAAATATAATGGAAAAATACCTTGCTTCAAGAATCTAGTTTGATGCAAAATCACTATACTTTGGACACTTACACTAGAAAATATCTTTTTGTTGCAGGGAGGATTATTTAATTCATGGGATAACAGAAAGTTTGCAGCAACAACAAGAAGAAAAATGAAGTGACAGTTGAGATAGCAATATTTTATCAACTAAATGCAGTGGTAATGGTGTAAATGTTGCAAGGAGTTATTGCAAGAGCTGAGTGGTCTGTTTCCCCTTAATGCTAATGAGCCCAGTTCTTGCACAAATTTTGGTATGGTAGAAACTACAGGAGGTAGCATGGTTCATTAAGCTTTCAAAGCTTTAAAATGTTAAAGGGGTGGCTTTCCTCCTTTATTTCATGTGAATTCCTAAAAGCATTGGGATGATCCTCACTGGAACTTTGAATTTGCTAGTTTCTTCATTAATTTTGACCTTTTTACATTGAAAAAAGTTAACACTAAACCACATCAGACTTCTACCTCCTGCAGTTATGAATTATGCTTAAACAAGTATTCAACCACAAGGAATTTCCTGAGAAAATTTGGGTACCATCTTTTAGAAAAAGAATTTATAAAATATAATTTGGAAACTATAATGTGCTAATAATAATGAAGATTTCTCTATTGTTTTTAAAGCCTCCTAATCAGATACAGAGAAATCTTAGGTAGTTTTCTAAGTAGCTTCATAAATGTGGACAGTGGTTGACCTGAAACTTGACATTTCCCTAACACACATTTGACAAGTGACCTGGGAAAAAAGTGGTTAATAGCTCCGTTTTTACATACTCCTTAAGAAATTGTTGCCAGAGATTTCAAATTGGTTCATACTGTTGTCTTTCAAAACAAAGCACCTATTCAAACACATATACACACACAAATCACACTGATATCAGTGATCTGGAAAATAAGCTTGCAAAGTCAGCCATGTGGTATTCTGAATTTGGGAAAAGAAAGAAAATGATGAAGAACTAACAACAGTGCAGCCAACAGTTTCTGTTGAAGTTTTATTTGCTAAGATCTTAACATAAGTAACATCTTGCAGTTTAATTAATCAGAAGATGGCACCTGCTTGAAATGCTGACATTGAGAAAAGCAGATTTTTTTTAATGTGGAATAAAATTTATTTATAGCCATGTATCTTTCCTATTGGTAGATAACTAGTTTATACTTTTGAAAGTCTCACTGTCAAATAATTTTAAATGTTGACAAGGAGAAAGACTTTTTGCTTTTTTTTTAATTTGAAGTAATTTTTTCTTGGAAATGTTTATTTCAAATTTCTATATAAACAAAATTGTATTCATGTTCATAAATTTGTATCCTCATAATTTAAAATTTTTATGGCTAATATAAGATGACTAAATATTTTATCAAGTAATACAAGAGTTTATATAATTGTCATGTTTATGGCTTTTGGGATCTGTCATTTATTGACTTTGGATATTTTAGGAATCAAATTTTGTTTAAACTGAAAAGACATTTTCCTTAACCTTTGTTAGATAACTTGAAAATGTTCTATGACATCTGTCCCTTCAGTCATACATTCTTTCCTTTGCTCATTGAATAGGAATGTGTGATTAAGCAAGCTTCTAAGAGCCATTTAAAAGGAAGAGTTAATTTTAGAAGACTATATCAAATTAGACAA